GTCCAACAGTCAAGAAGGCAGGGCCGGCAGTTACTGTGAAGCAGCATAAGCAGCATAAGCACAAGACATTTAGACATCCTGGTCATCTACTGTAGCAGGTGAGATCACCAGCCTTACCAATTGTCCATGCCAGTGAATTTAGGTCTCTTCTGTTAAGAGGGTAGAATTGCTCCTGTGCCGTAGCTGTTCTACTTCAAATTCTAACTTTCTGTTGGATGATTCATCTCAGTCCAAGCTTAATTCATTAAATCCTCTGGTGATAGAAATGAAGCAACGGATGAAACTGACCTGAGGTACCTGGGTTTTCAGTCCAAATAAAGTTGTTGCGGTTTGCATGATGACTTCTTTAAATTGCATTCCTTTTTCAGAACAGGTTTCCACAAGCAGTAAATTGATGGAGAATTTTTCATTAAGTGCTTGACCTAGGTCTTGCAGTATGTGGATGCTGAATGACATTCTCACAGTCCCTGTTGCTCATAATATAAAGGGGCCACTGGCAGTTATAGTCACAAACCTGCACATATGTGGCTTTTGGACTGGTGGTTGTTCATCTCAGTACATCTCTGGGGTAGCAGAGATATCCAGAAGCATCAAGGGGGACCGGGCAGCTTTTTTTTTTAGGGTAGTACTGTCCATCCTCAGATCAGGGAGGGAGTTAGAAAACGTTGCCTGTCCCAAAACATCTGGTTAGCTAGCCATGATTGGTGGATCATCTCCTTAGCAGTCAACATGTATCAAGAAAAACAAATCAAAGAAAACTCATCTTCAGAGCCTGGAATGTCTGCATCTTGCTGGATAGAGAAAAGATGTCAAGAACTGAAAGAAGAACTCATAGTAACACTCATAACAGTCAGACTTCACCATTTTCACATTGTCATCACTGCATTCATGGAGATCAGGCTTGTCGATGAGGGTTCTGTAAACCAGCGGTCCCCAACTTTTGGGGCACCAGGGACCGTTTTTTCCGCAGACCGGAGGGTGCGTGGTTTTGTGTGCTGCCTGCATCCCACAGATGGGGCTTTGCTTGTTTGTGCGGACCAATTGCTGGTATGCCGGTGCCCGGTACTGGTCCACGGACGGGGGTGTTGGGGACCCCTGCATTACAGGAAGCAGTGAGTGGATATAGGGTTATTTTGGAAAAAGAAACCAGAGATTGATAACAGAGTAGGTTTTGCAATCAAAACCGCTCCGCTGAATACATCTCTACTCACTAGAATAAATGAATGTATTATGAAGTTTCACTTTCCTCTCACCAAATATAGATATATCGCCATTGTTAGTGTCTATGCACCAACTCTTGTAAATCCAGATGAAGACAAATAAAAGTTTCTATTCCTATGAGGATCTGGAGCAGACAATTTGGATGACCCCTGCTAGCAACCAACTTCAGTGCTAGGATGGAAAGACAACAACATCCTGGGATGGAGTCCTTGGGAGACATGGAGTGGGAAAACTAATCAGTGATGGCCTGCTGCTTCTGAACAAGTGAGCCAAGCACAACCTACGCATCACTAACACAGTGCTCAGATTTGCAAACAAGTATAAAGCAACCTAGCTTGTAACAATGGACTTTTAGGGTCCTCATTGTGCCGGACTCTGCTCTTCCAATCTTTGCTGATGACTATGTGCTCCTGTCGCACAAAGACAGTGATCTTCAATCGATGCCGAATAAATTCTCAGATGCTGCTAGGCTCCTTGGCCTCATTATAAGCCTCTGTAAGACTGAAGTACTCTACCATCTGTGCCAAATACAAACCCCATAGAACCAAAAAATCACTGTTGATCATACTCAGCTGACAAATGTAAACAGCTTCAAATACTTGGGAAGCATCATCCCAAATGATGGATCTTTGGACAAAGAAACTGACTCCAAGATCTAAAAGGCCAGCCAGGCTCGAGGTGGCTGCATACTACAGCAGTGGCCCCCAACCTTTTGTGCACTAAGGACCGGTTCGGTGGAGAGAGGTTTATCCACAGACCGGAGAGGGTGTAGTTTCATGTGCGGCCTGCATCCCGTGGATGAGGCTTTTGCTTGTTTGCGCAGCCCGGTTTCTGGCATGCCACGACCCAGTGCCGGTCCAGACTGGGGGTTGGGGACCCCTGTGCCAGAACACTTAATCAACACGTTTGTACCTCCACAGAACTGTGGTTAACCTTTTCTCCTACGTGGATGTGAGCTAGACTCAAATGTAAAAAAACAAAATCCTGGGAGATGTTCCTTACTTCTGCTAAAGAAACTGCATGGATGAGCCCATGAAATCACCAGGATTTTTTTTTTGTCACAGGAAGTGACTTCCTTGTGGGTTTTTGAAGGGTATATCTCAACGGTAGGCAACCTTGGCTCTTTTATGACTCGTGGACTTCAACTCCCAGAATTCCTGAGCCAGCATGGCTGGCTCAGGAATTCTGGGAGTTGAAGTCCACGAGTCATAAAAGAGCCAAGGTTGCCTACCTGTGGTATATCTGATTGACTGCTGCTGTTTCTGCAAACCTTTCAACTGACCCAGCACATCAATCTTATATTCTTACTAAAAAAAGGATATCAGACTATCCAGAAACATCTGAAAGTTGTCTACCAGAGGTTTTTTTTAATCCAGGCTAGTCTTCTGAAGCCTTTTTCAAAGCCTAAGTGCTATGAAGCTCTGCTGCAGGAAAAGCACCAGCACTGTAGTGCTTTTGAAAGCTACTCCTTAAGGATTCAGGCTGCATCTTAACATAGCCATTAAGGATAGGGCGAACTTTTAATTACAATCCAATGTGAGTTATCAGCTAGTACAGCAGTTCACAGAACCAATCTGAAAAATAAAACAGAACCTTCTCTTTGTAGCAGAAAAAGAGGAAAAATAAAAAAGTGTGTACTGAAGGACTCCTATGTGAATGAGTACAATATTCCTGTTTATATTACGCTTGCTATTTTTAATCTCTGTAATACAGCGCCAAAAGGATGTCATGAAGTTTAAATGCTATGGTTTTATGAAAGGTAAACAGAATTCTGTGATAAGTATCTCCACATCTCCATAGAGATACATTCATCAAATTTATAGCAGGCTTCCAATATGGTGCACTTTAGTTCTGTTGGACTATATAGTACACTCCGTATTTTCCAGGGCTGGGAATTCTGTGATAGGATATGGTGCAGTACACCAGAAAAGCTTCAAGTTAGAGATCACTGCAACTGTATATATTAATCAAAAAGGAGTTTGTAAAGCATCAAGCCGTATATAGGCAAAATAAAGCCACAATAAGTCAAGAGGAAAATAACAGGAGTGGAAAGTTTTTAAAAAATACCCCCAAAAGAAAAAAGCTTTATGGGAAGAAAAACAGCTTGCTTAGTAGCCACTTACTAGGCTCCTCCACACAGCACCACAAAGATGTTATCCAGTGCCAGAGCTGGCCAAATATTATACTGATGGATAATGTCTGTGATGATGCCAGTTTCTGGCAGCTGGGGATTGGAGAATTGGCAGCAAAGGAGCCATTCCCCCCCCCCAGTTCTCTTCCTTATATTCTGCCACCCATGGAGGGCAAGAGAAGGGTGGGGATGCAGAAGCAGGAGAGCTTTTTTTTTTTTGCTGCCATTTCTATCCTGCACGTTTAGGAGGCACCAGGTTTGGAAAATGTCTGAATGGAATTTATAATGTCATCTTTATTGAGTATACCATTTCTGGGCCACAAAATTCAGGACGACAAGAGAGCACGAGAGAGATACAGATCAATTTCTGTAACTCAAATATAGTAGCCCTAGTCTGGCCCAATCTTTTAGGATCATTATACCCAGGACAAATTTTATAGAACTCACTAGTAAACAAAGAAAATGTCTGAGGCATAAATACTGCAATTCTGAGCTCGTTATAGCAGGGCCATTGATTTAAATGGGAATTATTTCCAAGTGGAAATATTGTCAGCAGTAGACCATAATTAACAGTCTTGGCACATACTGAAAAAACTAAGCAGCTGAAAGTACTTGGATGGGAGGCCACTAAGTAATCCCAGAGCTAGAGGATAGGCTAGATTTACAGTGTTTCTCAATCTTGACAATTTTAAGGCATGTGGACTTCAACTCCCAGAATTCCACAGCCAGCAATGCTGGCTGTGGAATTCTGGGAGTTGAAGTCCACATGCCTTAAAATTGTCAAGGTTGAGAAACACTGGGCTAGAAAATCAGAAAACATCCTGGACCAAGGCAGTGGCAAAGTACTTTCCCGTTATAGCAAAAAATAGATGAATATTTCCATAAAATCATAAAGGATTGATCTCGACTTGATGCAATCTATTATTTTACTAAATAATTTTTGAATGAATAGCTACGTTCCACTGGAAGATTTTTTTTTAAAAAAATAATTCCTTTATTATTTCATAAGTAACTCAAGGAAGTGAACATCCCTAATACTACAGCCACCTCCTATTTTCCCCACAATAACCCTGTGAAGCGAGTTGGGCTGAGAGTGTCTGGCCCAAAGTCACCAGCTGGCTTTCATGCCTAAGACAGGACTAGAACTCACCAGTCTCCTGATTTCTAGCTTGGTGCCTTAACCATTACACCAAACTGGCTTTTCCATGATTGATATATTTATAATTCTTTGACATTATTTCACACGTTCATATCCATCATTTAATTGTTTCATTAAGAAGCGTAACCCCTTCAAACCTGCCCCACCGCCTACAAACAGCTGTTCAACGTTTCATTTGGACAGTTAACCAGAAATTGCCTTCAGAAGTTGTGGGTGCTTCATTACTGGAGGCTTTTAAGAAAAGACTTGACAGCCACCTGTCTGAAATGGTACAGGAGTGCTTGGGCAGTGGGTTGGACTAGAAGACCTCGAAGGTCCCTTCCAGCTCTATTCTGATTGATGGTGTGATTTGCCGCTAAAGAATTTCCGGGAAAAGCAAGGGATCAAGCCCAGGCCGTGATACGGCTCCTCCTGTCGTACTAGCCGGGTACTGTCGTGATGGAGTAACCGGAAGTTGAGGGCTCAGTTTTGCTTTACGTCTTAAACCGGAAGTGGTGCCGGAGAATCTGTTTTCGAGAGATCGCAATGTTTATTTGGCTGTGACTCTTCCTGCTTTATTTTGTGGGGCTGCTGGCGAGCGGCTCCCCTCGCCCGGAGAATTATGGACAAGAAAAAAAAGCCTCTGGATGTAACAGTCAGTTCGGTGAGCAGCAAAGGGGAAACGGGCAGGCTTTCAGAGCGATTGTCGTTTTAGGGCAGAGGTGGAGAACGATGGTTCTTTTATTATGACTTGTGGACTTCAACTCCCAGAATTCCTGAGCCAGCCATGCTGGCTCAGGAATTCTGGGAGTTGAAGTCCACAAGTCGTAAAGGAGCCATCGTTCCCCACCCCATTAGGGTAATAGCTTTTCTCAGGTCTTTGGAGGTCTTGTTTTTCTCCAAAGTGAAAAGGAAGCTACGTAGGCGTAGTATTATACGACGCTTACTGTTTGTAATCTTGTGCACCCCGGCAAATCTTGCATTAATTAAATCTTCGTTTTCTACCCTCCTTCCCCACCCCGTCTCTTCTTAAACATTCAAAGGCCGTTGCTAAAGATTGGGTTTGTTTTTTCTCCTTTCGTTATTCCTATTCCAGCTGATAGATTTGAAAGCTGAACTGTTCCGAAAACAGGAAGAATTCAAGAAAGAGAAACTTCTGAAAGATGCGGGAGTCCCTATAAAGCCCAAAGCAGTAAACAAGGTAGGGTTTGTGCATAGAGTTTAGATTATTTATCTCTGTTTGAGGATTCAACCACATTATTCTTTGTCTTCCCATTCTTCTAAATGCATTTACTCCTTCATATGTTTGTGGACTTTTATCATTTGAGCTTCAGTCATTCTTTCTACGTGATGAAACCACTTCAATATATTTTTCGTATTCTATCCACATTCATTCAATACCCATTTATTGTATTTGTATTCTATCCACATTCATTTTTTGTATTCTATCCACATTCATTCAATACCCATTTATTCTTGGCCCTATCTTTTGTTTTATTGCACATCTACCGTAAATATCATATTCAGCTTTGTTTTTTGCACTAACATACAGCATTTATTTCAATTCTGGGGTTTTTTTACATATTGATGCAAATTATAAAAGCTCTGTAGTTCATCTGTGAATTAGATTCAAAAACAGCCAAATAACTTGTTTGAAAACTTATTATTACAGAAACCAACCATTTGGGCTAAGCAGAACAAAGGTGTTTCAGATCGAGCTGAAAAAGATGCAGAGCAGAAGATAGAGGAGCAGCAAACTCTGGATAAATCAAGGTGCTTCATTTCTAAGAAAAGCAGACTTACTAAATATTGTAAATAAGATTATAAAGAAAATATGATGTAGCTTATCTATAAATCCAATATGATGCAGGATTGTGTTACATTATGAAGCCAATTATCCAGAATAGTTCTGCCTTCCTGGTAAGAGCCTCAGGGTAGGCCCTGTCACCCCAAATGGAGAAAGAAATCAGGCCCAAAGGCAGACTTTGACATTCTGGAATACACCCCAGAAATAAAAATGCCTCTTGGCATTTGGAAAACCTTGAAGATTCTCTTTTTAAACCAGTTATTAGATAAGACTTGAGACTGACTAGATAGCTATTTATAGCTATACTATTTTGAGAGCATTGAGCTGTAATTTATGGACTGTTTTCATTAAAACAATTTCATTACAAGTAATGGTATCACAGAGAGAAAAGAACAAGATAATGGTTGTGATCAAATACACATGCAGGAGAGGGACCAGGTTCCTTTATTTTTCTCGTGATCATTGAATATGGTTTTAATCAATGTTAGCTGCTTTTCATAGTGGACTTTGATAAATTGTAGAGCCTTGTGAGAAATATTCATTGCTGGATTTATTTCCAAAATTCCTTCCAGACAATCATTCTGAACCATTCTCAAAGTGGTGCATATCTTTTGAATATGTGGAGGATGCACAGGCAGATGGGTAATGCTTCAATCATATTCCCAAGGATCAAAACATGGCTCTGAATTGGTAGAAAAGCACTTTCAGGTTGTCTCCGTGTGGCTGTAATCATGTTAATCATTGACAACATTTCTAAACTACTCTGAGGGAAGGCAATTTTGATAGCGTATAGTGGTCTTAAGTTATATTGCCTCATGTTCTATATTGTAAAAAGACTCACTGCTATGAAATATTCATTAAAACGGAAAGGGGAAGTTAAGAAGCTTGATAAATAAAAGTGTTATTTTACTGTTTTTAGGCAGAAACTGGAAGAGAAAGCACTTCTGTATGAAAAAATGACCAAGGGAGATTTTCCAGGTAAACACCTTTAGCTTTCTTGGGATTTTATGCGAGATATTTTTTGATAAAGGCTGTACTACAAAATGCCGTCCCTAGAAATAACCACTCAGTAATTCTTATTTCAAAATAGGCATCTCTAAGGAGGCAGTAAAAGCCTGAGAGCTGTTTGCTGCTATTATAACCTTCCTTATGAAAAGAATAGGCCTTTCTCATTGAAAACACTCTTTTGTCCTTGATAATGCTGTAGAGCAATGGCTGAAATTTGTTCTAAGTTACTTTGACATTAAGATCTGGAAAACTGCAGTGCCTAAAGACAAAGCTTATGTTTCTACTTCTGAAGACCAGTGGCTAGGGAATTCTGGGAACTGAAGTCCACACATCTTAAAAGCTGCTGAGGTTGAAAAGCACAGCTGTAGACAATGCCATTTGTCAAAGTAGATGCCTTTGTCCTCTTCCTGCAAAGAGTTTGGCTAGTCCTGGGGGCTTTTTCTTCGTGGAGGTTCCATTCCCGCCAAGCAACTGTAGTTAATGGTATAACAGATGATAAGTTTGGGACAGAAGCATTTTCCATGAGCACCATATACAATCACTTTTCTCAACAGTCCAAGTTCAATATAGCCACGGTTCTTTATACTTTATATATATATTACATTTTCTTCCACAGGCAGTCCTTGACTTACAAGAGTTTATTTAGTGACCGTTCAAAGTTCCAACAGCTCTGAAAAATGTGACTTATGACTGTTTTTCACAATTATCACCATTGCCGCATCCCCATCTTGTGATCAAAATTCAGATGCTTGGCAATTGACTCATATTTATGACAGTTGCAGTGTCCCAAGGTCATGTGATCACCTTTTGCAACTGTCTCACAAGCAAAGACGAAAGGAAGCCAGGCTCATTTAACAACCGGGTTACTAACTTATCAACTGCAATGATTCACTTAGCAACCTTGATAAAACGGTCGTAAAATGGGGCAAAACTCACTTAACAAATAATAATAATAAAATTGGAAGGGATCTTGGGGGGTCATCTAGTTCAACCCCTGCTCAGGCAGGAAACCCTATATCATTTCGGGCAAATGGCCATCCAGTCTCTTCTTAAAAACTTCCAGTGTTGGAGCATTCGCCGCTTCTGGAGGCAGGTTGTTCCACTGATTAATTGTTCTAACTGTCAGGAAGTTTTTCCTTAGTTCTAGGTTGCTTCTCTCCTTGATTAATTTCCATCTGTTGCTTCTTGTTTTGCCTTCTCACCAACAGAAATTTTGGGCTCATTTCACTGTGCATAACTGCTAATTCAATTGCACTTAGCAAAGCAGGATCCCCCCCCCCCCGTAAATCCTCCGTGTAGTCATAGAATACAATGTGTTTCTGTTTCAGCATTGCTTGAATGTCTCCTTATGCAGAGACATTCCTATATTTCTTTCAAAGGTCCAGAACAAATTTGTCACTCTTTTCCATTCGGTGAGGGCACTCTAAACTTGACAAGATTTTACCGAACAGCTCATTTTAGAACAATGAGGACAAGGGGGTTGGGGATTACTTAGTTTTAGCCCACATGTTCCCTTTGTTCTACATTCAGAAGGTCCTATTCAAGAAATAGCGCAAATCAACAGCAACAGCAATCTTTTCCACTCCCAGTAGCAAAAGTTGAAGAAGCTAACATCTTTCTGTCCTGATAGGGAACTTTCAGATATGCGTGGCTCTTATGTGTATTCATAGTCTGTATAATCTCAAAATGTGCTCCAAAAGATTAGAAGGGGCCTCCAAGAAAAAAAAAGGCTTAGGAGAAGGAATAAATGTGTGAAAAAAATCCTTTTTTTCAGCATTGGATTTCTCTCAAGAATTCAAGTGGTATTGCCTTTCTGTAAAGCAACAGCAACCACTGGAAAAGGATAATTTAGAAACTACTTTTTATTCGCTGTTAAATCTTGACATAGCTGCATCCAAGAGAAAAGTATGTTAAAATCATTCATGAACCAAGTAAATAATAATAATAATAATAATAATAATAATAATAATAATAATAATAATAATAATAATAATAATAATAATAATAATTAATAATAAAGTTGGAAGGGACCTTTGAGGTCTTCTAGTCCAAGCTGCTCAGGCAGGAAACTATGCCAATTCAGACAAACGGTTGTCCAGTCTCTTCTTAAAAACTTCCAGGGTTGGAGCTAGGTATTTGACTAGGTATGTCACATTAATTCTTGTTGCATATGTAAAAGTTCTATGTCTGTAACCTTTAACTGGGCAAAACAGTATATTCATCATAAGGCAACAATTTTTGAATCAAGGGACATCAAATGGACTAGAATGCGTCCAAAATCCAGGATCCATGATTCTCATGGGATTGAAAATTAACAAATGTGTAGTTGCTTGATTGCTGCTATGCCATGGCCTGGACGTTCAGTAGACTGTCATTAACAATGATTTTCTGTCATAGATGAAGAAACTGAAGAGTTATATCTTGTGGATTTCACTCAGAAGATAATTGACAAACAGAGAGAAGTACAAGAACTATGTACCAGTGAAACTGCCAAAAAGGCAATGGGGGAGGAGAATGGAGAAGAAGAGAGATTCTCTGAAGGAGAGGTCCCACCTTCACAGAACCCAGATGAAGAATGGTTGGTGATTGTATCATAATAACACTATTGTGTATTACATAGCTTCACTGAAATCAAATGAAATAACCTGACTTCAGTTTAGACTGTAGCTTTATTATAATATATTTGCAGTACCGTGTTTTCTCAAAAATAAGACCCGGTCTTATATTTTGGGGGCTTTTAAAAGAGGTATTAGGTCTTATTTTGGGGGGGATGTCTTATTTTTTTCACGTACAGGAGGTGGTGAGCCCTGGGGTCCACAGGAGTGGGAGCATTGCTCCCGCCAGGCCGGCCCTCTCCATCCCATCGTCTGTTTGCCATGGCCACAACGGGCCAAGCTCGCCCTGCCTACTAGCCCTGCTGTTGCTGGGACACTTCTCGACTGCAGTGGGCGCTGTTCTGGCCGTCGAGTGGCTGCCTGTGCTGTGCTGGTCTTGCGGGCGCCCTTAGCCCTCCTGGCGGTGCTGCTGTTGGCCACCCTGCTGGGTTGCTCCTGCCTGATGTGGGGCAAGTCGGCCCAGATCTATGATCTCTGGAGTGCCCCCCTCCTGCCACTGGTCTGCTAGGCCCCTTTGCCAGCCCCCACCAGTGGACCTCACCTTCCACCCAGCCCACCGCTAAGCCCTGGCTGCTACCCAGCAGCCTCTACCTCCCACTGGAACTGCACCTTGCACCCTGCATGCTGGGTGATGCCCCTCCCCTGTATGGCTTCATTGGGTGTCTGGTAGGCGGAGGAGCCTGCCACCTGCCTCACCTCGTAGTGGCGGTACCTTGTGGCAGCATGGGTCAGTGGGTAGGTGGCGGCAGAGGCATGTGGCCACCCTCTCCGTGCCCAGCAGCCACTGCAAGCACATTTCAGTCAGCCATGAAGTCATCTAGTTCTTGGTCCCTCCCAAGCCACCGACAGGGAAGAACCTTTAGCCAGAGCAGCCTGGTGCAATTTAATGCTTCTAATTTACAAATAGAAAAGCTGGTTACTAATATTATGGTACTTTTTCTCCTTCTTCTCTTCTTTCTTTGCCTCGCTTTTTTCCTTCTCCTTTTCCTTGTCATCTTTCCTCCTTCTTACTCTCCTCCTTCTCCTGCCCCTTCTTCTTGGCATATCTGTTGGCAATCTTGTGGTTTGTGATCCACAAAACGCTCATCGCCACCTTTGCTGGCCACGGCCAGCCCCCCCTCCCCAAGGCTGATGCTCTTAACTAGGTTTATATTAGTGCCCCCTCCCCCAAAATCAAGCTAGGGCTTATTTTCAGGATAGGTCTTGTTTTTGGGGAAACATGGTACTACTCTCTGGAAGATACATAATTAAGCTTATGTATGCAGCTTTATTAGACTCTTTGTCATTCTTTTTGACAGTAATAATCATGTTAAATTGTTATACTTTTGAAAGATTTAAAATTAACCTATTTATCTAAGTTAATTTTGTTTTTCATTTTAGGGTTGAATATGTGGATTATTTAGGCCGTTCAAGAAGATGTATGAAGAAAGATTTGCCCCTTCGGCTAAGAATGGATGAACAGATCCAGGAGGAGAGGTAAACTTTATTGTAGAAATATGTAAACAATATGTAAAACAAACCCCCAGTTTTATAGAGAAATAAGATAAGAATGGATGTTGAATATGATATGGTTTTGTTCTCTTACCAAAGGTAATAGTTTTATAGTCTTTGTAGTAGCTCATCAAACTAGTCTGTGTTGTCTGTGTTGTAACTGAAAATTGGCAGCTGTTATAACACAGGTGGGCAAGACTAGGCAGGCCTCCAGAAAGTTTTTTATTTTTCTTGGAAAGGGTTAAACAAATGACCCTCCACTGTCCAGTCAGGCTCCACCCTCAGGCCTCCCCCCAAACATCAGCCCATAGATTACCCAGCAAGTCCACAAGCAAAAGTCCAGACATAAGACAAGGGCAGTTCTCAGAGCAAGGAAAAGGTCCAAGATAAGGAGCAGTTTTCCAAACGGCACAGTGAAACAAAAGACAAACACAGTTCACAAACAAGGGCACAGTTCGAACCAAAAGGCCAAGAGCACTTCTCGAAACAAGATGGGGTCCGAGGCAAGGCAGGTCTGAAAGGAGAATCTTCAGGGCTAGGGCACGCCGAGAACAGTCCTCAAAGCAAGGCAAAAGCAATCTTTGAAGCAAAGCAGTCTGAGTCACAGGTGAGGGAGTGTAATCCGAAAACAAACACTTGTTCCTGGCAAAAGCACCTCCTTAAATGTTACTCTCCAGGTGAACCTCGTGAGGAGGGGCGGGGCGCCCTCCTCCCAAGTAGTTGGGTCGTCCTACGCTGACTCTGCCTTCTCTCCATTCTGACAGCAGCATTTCTTGAAACATGCTGCTAAAAGTCTAAAAAATAGAACATATTGAATGTAGCACTACTGTACTGTATTGTGTGCAGATATAATTTAGCAATAGTGTTGTCCTTCAGTATTTAGTGACTATGCAGACCACAGTCAACTATGCAGGGACTGACTGGGATCCTGTCTTTATAAGCTATAAAGATAGAAGCCCAATTAGTCCCCAATCAGCAGACCGCCTTGCCCCTGAAGATGCCAGCAACGGTTGCTTGTGAAATGTCAGGAAATCTGTTATCTAGACCAGAGTTCTCCAACCTGTGGGCCACGGCCCACTACCGGGCCACGGCTTATTCGCAACCGGGCCATGTGAGTGGCTGGCTGGTGCATTCGTGTGTGCGCACACACAGTCCTCGCATGAGGGTTGCAAGCGCTCGTGGCCCCACTCGTGCGAACATCATGGGTGCTCACAGCCCCACGTATGCAAGCATTGTGGGTGCTCCGAGCCTCGACGCAAGCACTTGGGGCCTCCCTAATTGACAACTATAAGGGGCGCTGTTCATCTCAATTTCAAGGCCATTGAGCTAGTGCTGTCCGAAGACATTTCTGTGGTCATGTGGCCAGAATGACGTTACGGAGCATTGTTATCTTCCCATCGAAGTTATACCTGTTTATTCACATTTGCATGCTTTCGAACTGCTAGGCTGGCAGAAGCTGGGCAAGGACAAGAGCTCACACTGTTGCGTGGCACGCGGGTCTCAAACCTGAGCTAATCATTTATAATGTTGAATATATAAATTGAATACAAATTCAGTCTGGAGAATGAATCCTTTTTGAAAGGATTTACTGTCTACAAAATGAACCACATGAATAAGTATATTTTGGGTACCGTGTCATTTGTGCCGTTATAATGTGGATTTAAATGGGGGGACTTTGCTAAATCCAAAAACAAGTCTCTCTCTTGACTGTGATCATATGTTAACTTTAGATCACAAACTGAGACATCTTAATCTGTGAAAATACACTTAAGGTGGGGTTTCACTTTGTAGCCATCTGTATGTCCCAAAAACGTGCCCAAGCAACTGCCTAACTCTCCAGAACAGATTTGAGGTATACGTGCATATGGACAGCAGCTAGTCAGAATGTGGTTTCCTGATGTTATTCTGTCAACAGATGATTATGTACTGAATGTTGTCCAAAGTCACGTAAATTGTAGTAAAATTATGATACTGTGACATATTAAAGAATACAGTTTTACAAGCCCATGCTTGTTGAGGGCTGGAAAGAACATATCTCCATAGTTCCATATTTTCAATAATGGCAGCATTATTTTAAAAATTACTTTGCATAACTAAAATTAGTTGAGTACCTTTCTAATTGTTTTACACCTACACAGTATTATACAAACCAACATCATTGGGCTCTACCATTGCTTTGACTTTCTTTACACTGATATTAAACTGTAAGACTGGATACTGTTGGAATAGCTAGAGAGTTTCGGGTGTTCCCTCCTACACCTCTTTCCAATTCTTAAATAATGTTTTTGTTTTAATTACTCAAGCAGTCCAATGACTGAAAAAAAGACCCTACTGTCAGAAGACATGAGAAGGGAGCTTCAGCGTCAGGAATGGGAGAGAGAGGAAGAAGAAGCGCTGAAGAGACCTATGGGGCCAATTCATTATGAAGACATTCGAGAAAATGGTAGGCTGATGTTCTGTGATTCAAATCTGGTTTGAAAAATATCACCCAGTTTAATGTCAAGGTAGATTCTCTTCTCGGGTTTTTTTTTTAAAGTGATAGTGCCCATGCAGAATTGTTGGACTGTTATATTAAACACTTTTTAGTGGAAAAATGAGAATTAGTTTGGTGTTGTGGTTTAAAGGTACCGGGCTAGAAATCAGGAGATTTGTGAGTTCTAGTTCTGTCTTATGTATAAAGCCAGCTGGGTGAATTTGGACCAGCCCCTGTCTCTCAGTTCTTGGAAGAAGGCAATGGCAATGATTTCTGAAAACTTTGCCCAAAAAATTGCAGGGACTGGTACAGGAAAAATACAGGTAGTCCTCAAGTTAACAATCATTTGTTCCATGTCTGAAGTTATGACAGCGCTAAAGAAAGGGACTTGTGACCGATCCTCGTAGTTCCTGTTTTGCATTATCCCCACAGTCTGGTGAACAAAATTCAGGCACTTGGCAACCAGTTCACACTTACGTTGCAGTGTTCCACAGTCGCCATTTGTAACCTTGACTGCTGGCTTCCCACAAGCAAAGTCCATAGGGAAGCTTGTGGGAAACTGGCAGGAAAGATCACAAGTCACTTGAGTAAGTCTTCCCTGGCCTATCTTTGCTCCCACCCACCAGCATCCTCCTTCACACACACACACACACACACACACACACACACACCCTGCACCCTCCTTCCTCAGCTTTCCTGAGCTTTTGCTGCATCACAGCACCCTCCTCTTGCAACTCATGCACGGCCTGCACCAGGCCTCCCCCACCCACTCCTGCACTTTTCATCTGAGACTCCCATTTCTTCCCACTTAACAACCCATGCCTTCTAAGTTACAGTGACAACTGGAACTGCCCGGATTACTAAGCAATGGGGTCTCATGATATCATGCTTTATCACTTAGCAATGGCAATCCCAGACCCAGTGGCAGTTGTAACTCAAGGATTACCTGTAGCAAGATTAGGGGGCTACTCAAATTTGTGTTATCGATAACTATATTGCCCCATACTCTGTGCTTAACCAAGGAGTGGAAGTCTTAAGTCTCACTCTAAGCAGCCACTGAAAGCAGAAGATGCAAATGCAAAAAATAAAAGGTTAAAGTTTCAGTGTTGTAAGTTACTATAATTTTTTTTGTTCATTTGTATCCTGCCTTTATAATTTTTACAAGGTGGAGAACATATCCAAATATACCTTCCTCCTCTGGTTTTTCTCACAACGACTACCCTGTGAGATGAGTTGGGCAGAGAGAGAGAGAGAGACAGAGAGACAGAGTCTCTAGCTGGCTTTCATAGTTAAGGCAGGACTAAGTTATGATAGATGTGAACCAGTATAAGTCTGTCTAAAAGGTACAAATTTCCCTGTCCAGTCATGTCTGACTCTAGGGTGCAGTGCTCATCTCCCTTTCTAGGCCAAGACAGCTAGCATTATCTGAAGACATTTTTTGTGGTCACGCAGCCGGCATGGCTATACACCAAAGACACACAGAATGCTGTTACCCTCCCACCAAAGTGGTACCTCTTAATCTACTCGCATTTGCATGCTTTTGAACTGCTAGGTGGGCAGGAACTCCCCCTGTTGCACGGCACTCGGATCTCGAATAAGTCTGTCTATTTGGAGCAATGTTGCATGGAAGTCAATAGCAATAGCACTTAGACTTATATACTACCCCATAGTGCTTTACAGCGCTCTGGGCAATTTACAATGTCAGCATATTGCCCCCAAAGTCCTTATTTTACCAATTTTGGAAGGATGGAAGGCTGAGTTAACCTTGAGGATCAAACTCCAGGCTGTGGGCAGAGTTTGCCCACAATACTGCATTCTAACCACTGCACCACTATATCAAGGTATATAATTCAACAGATTTGGACAGCATATGATTGGAGAAGGCTATTGTAACATAAAAAATAATTCAGAAATGTCTGTCTTTGTACTGATATATAATCATGGAGAAAAGTTGTAGGTCTATATTAAAATCCACAATGACCATTCAGAGTACCCCAGAATACTAGTTTCTGGCATTTTCTGGTGTTATTGGAAGAATTCTGGCCTGAAACCCTTTACTATACCATCACTTACAGTAAAGGAAGTTCAGGAATTACAATGTATGATGAACTCTAATATGGAACAAACTTTCTTTCAGAGGCCCGACAGCTTGGTGTTGGTTACTTTGCCTTTGCTCGTGATCAGGCTGTGAGAAAAAAACAAATGGACACTTTGGAAATGCTAAGAGAACAGGTATGTTGTTTAACAGTCTACCAAGTGTGGGAAATTTCCTGATGTCCTGAAATGGGTGTCCTAGCTTCCCTCATCAGCGGCCATGCTGACTGGGCTGTTGGTAATCGTAATTCAACATTTGTAGAACGATAAATTCTCCATCCCCAAACTTACACTGTGAAATACCTGAGCCTTTCTCAGATGCTTATCTCCTCTATCCTTGGTGAATTGTGTCTCTGAATAACATAAAGAAGTGGTGGTTCTCCCCCCCCCCATTCCAAGAGCCGCATATACACTTGGCCTCTGAACTGCAGAAGGGAGGTACTATAATTCTCCCACCTTTATAATGGCGGTTCAGTAAAATGGGAGGAACAGGAGGGACCCAAATAGGATTGTTTGGAAGGAAATGTAAATCTCCCTAACTCTAGCTTTTCCTTCTTCCATTCCCTCCGTTGATGGAAAATCACCTGGATTATTGAGATAAAATTAAAGCTTGAATCTCAAAGGTTTGACAGGAAATGGATAAAAGAAATGGTTTCTGTGAACATCTGAAGAGAAAATGAATTACCATTGTATTGCATTTCTCCAGACCATCGGTCAGAGAACAAAGCGTGAGCATTTAAAGGAAAAACGTAAAGCTAACTTGGAGGCCAGGTTGTCTAAAATTCGAGCAAAAAAGCACTTAAAAGATGGCGATATGAAAGAAAATGGAGGTAATTTTGAATTATTTTCTTTAAATTTAAAAGGAAGGTTTACATATTTGATTAAATTACGTTTCTCTTATTCAGTAACAACCACAAAGTTGACCATCCTGTATTGCAGTTTATTCCAAATGGTTTCACAGTCTCAGTCAGAACAGAATTGCAGTTTTGGAGAAAGACATAGTGTGATAGCTTGTGCATGTGCATCGAAGAAGCAGGATGATGGATTAGGACCAGACTTGGTTTTTCTAGTTCAGACATAGCAATAATCCACAATGGCATCTATTCATAAACTCCAAACTAATTTTTCAGATATTCAGAAAATTATGCTTTAATTGTATCACTTTGGACGGTTTCTGTTCCCCACTAATATTTTTTAATCACTGAAAAGCTGGTGAAATTGATGAAAGGAGGAATATGAAATATTTTTATTACTGCCTGTTTCTTCAACTATATTACAATGCAGTTATTCTAGGGTACATTTCCAAGCCATAACTTTTGTTCTGCTTTCTGATATCCATTGAAATTTTTTGGATTTTTTTTTACCCCTTGCAGTTTACTTTGTAATAACTGTCTTTCGAGGAGGCAACAAGTAATATCTCAGTGACATGTTTACTGTGAGGAAATCATTACATAAATACACTTGCTGTAGTAAGGCAATATCATGTCCATTTATTGTATGCGGTGCCTAAAATCTATATGTTGTTCTTCATAACAGAGGAGGAAGCTCCAACGCCAGTCCTACCTTCAAGCAAGCCCACTGAACCGCCCAGAGTTTCTACAGAAAGTAGGAAAGTAGAAGTTATTATTCAGGAGAGGAAAGATACAAAGCCAGGTGTGCCGTATGTTCGTGAATGGGATAAAGGCAAAGGTAAGAAGCTGCAATGTTTTGGGCTGTAATTATGTCAAGAATCCTTTGGTTTAAGCCAGGGGTCTTCATACTTGGCCCTTTCATGACTCGTGGACTTCAACTCCCAGAATTCCTCAGCCAGGCACACTGGCTGAGGAATTCTGGGAGTTGAAGTCCACGAGTCATAAAAGGGGCAAGTTTGAAGACCCCTGGTTTAAGCCATAGTGTCTTGGCCCATGGAACCCCCCAGAACTCCCTTTTAACTTCCCCAAAACACCCTGATAGTGCTTGGTCAATCCCCAACACCAAACCTAAGGATTTTAGCAGTGTGTTTTTTTCCTTGATTTGGAGGGGAGATGTCGGTGGTATTGAGACAGTTTTAAGTTTTAAATGTTACCAAGGAAGGTCTTTCTGTAATCCATTAACAAGAAGGAAGTTCTGTAATCCTCTAACAGAGGGGTTTTCAAACTTGGCCCTTTTATGACTTGTGGACTTCAACTTCCAGAATTCCTCAGCCAGCATGTCTGGCTGAGGAATTCTGGGAGTTGAAGTCCACAAGTCATAAAAGGCCAAGTTTGAAGACCCCTGCTCTAACATGTTACTAAGCAGAATTTCCTCATTCTTAACTTAAACTCTGGTTAGGTCACAAGCATTTCATATGAGAGATTCCCCACATTCCCACAATACAGAAAAACAAGTCTGTTCATCCAGACATAATGGAAAGGTTAAGGCTGCATGTAAACTGCTTCTCTTTCACGGCCTTCCTCAGATTACTAAACGGTACAGGTAGTCCTCGACAACAGCTCTTTAGTGAGCATTTGAAGTTACAACAGCACTGAAAAAAGTGACTTGTGGCCATTTTTCACAGATACGACCATTGCAGCATCCCCATGGTCACGTGGTTTACATTTGGATGCTAGACAATTGTTTCATATTTATGATGGTTGTGTGTCCCAGGGTCATGTGGCCATCTTTTGTGACCTTCTGACAAGCAAAACCAATGGGGAAGCCAGATTCACTTAACAACTGTGTTGCTAACTTAACAACTACAGTGTCTCACTTAACAAATGTGGTAAGAAAGATCTTAAAATGGGGGTAAAAATCACTTAATAAATTTCTCACTTAGCAACATAAATTTTGGGCTCAATTGTGATTGTAAGTCGAGGACCACCTGTATTGTAGATGGCACTCAAGGTTAGTAACTTGGGTGACTTCAGTCTTTTTTTTTTTAAGATTCTATTAAGGTAAGCAAAATGGGATTTCCTAAACAAAAGTAGGACAGGTTATTGCTGTAAGGTTGTTTTTTTTTAAAAGAAATAATTCTTTTATAAAGTTTCATAAAGCTTGAGTCGAATTAAATATGAAAAAGCAAAGCTGAACTTGATATTTCTTCCTCTTCCCACTGATAGAATTCACTTTTGGACTTTGGTCAAAGAAGCAGAATGATCTCAGGAATGAAAGAGATCCAGAGTTTGCACCACCTTCTGCTTACTTTAACAGTCAAAAGAAATGTTATGATTTGAATAACCAAAATTGGAACAAATCTGAATCCTCCTATGTAAGTACAGAAGACAGTTTTACAGGCAACTTGCCATCTACATCAGCTGAGACTCACAATAACTCATGGAACAATGACTTCACACCCACTCAGGCAGCTGAGATGAGGACGTCAAACCAAGAGCCAGTTTACCAAAGTTTGGATGATATGCTCTCCTACTATAAGCAAGTCACCTGAACTTCATATGCTGTTAGCAAAACAATATGTTCCCTGATGATTAAAAAGAATTAAGGATAGTTTCTGTGAGCAGGTGAACTTTTCTGCAATTCCCTTCTCTCTTATCAATTCTAATATTAAAGAATTCGCTTCAAAGATACTGTTTTTGTCTGGAATTTTATTTCTTTAGGCACACGAAAACTTGGATATGATCAGGTTTTAACATCTTAATAATAACCCTCATTTAATTAATAACAAAGGTTATGCTAGAGCAAGAGCTACTATAGAAGAAACTTACCCTTCACTGTTTGCCCAGTTATTTGGAGTCAAGCAGAGGTGGTGAGCAACTTTTGCACTTTAGGAACTGCATAACACCTTGAAGCTCACAGAAGTAACACTGGAAGATACTGGGTTGAAAAGTGTCATCATTTTGTGAGGGGATGTATTAATCTATTTAATTTGCTAAATTCTTATCTTGGGACTCAAGACAGTAAATCAAATATTCTACCCTTCAGTTTTTCCCAACGACATCTTTGTGAAATAGATTGGGTTGAGGGTGACTGGTAAGCTCTGACACTAAAAAGTGAACATGAGTGTCCCCAGTCGTGGTCTAGCAACATAACCATGACGCTCCATGGGCTCCCATATCACCATCAGTCTCTCCATTTAACCTAAAAGACTGCAAGAGCTGCAAAATTTCAGCTGGAAGCCATTTCTGATATGGGCTATCTTTCCTCAGATTTCCTCTTTAAGAAAGTAAGCTTTGATCCTACTATATGTGCTTACAATATTTTTTGTGGCTACAGGCATTCCTTAGGTCAGGGGTAGTCAACCTTGGCTCTTTTATGACTCGTGGACTTCAACTCCCAGAAATCCTGAGCCAGCTAAGCTGGCTCAGGAATTCTGGAAATTGAAGTCCACGAGTCATAAAAGAGCCAAGGTTGACTACCCCTGCTTTAGGTGTACATTCTTCATAATCAAACATTCACATATGACATCTTCATGCTATAAGCAGAATTCCTTTAAATTGTACTTTCTGATTTCTCTTTATTTTCCATCAGTCTTCTGAAATTCTTCCAGTGTTAAAGAAGCAAAATGTTCATAGATTAGTATAGTTGACCTTTCAGATTATTATTACATAATATTGCCCATTATTCTAAACTAATTTTGTGTTACTTAAGTGCATATTTAAATGTCCGCTAGATTGATATAATCATAGTGAAGTCTGGCTGCAAAATAAAACTGTATTTTCCAGTTTTGAAGACTCCATTTTTTCTGCAAAGGGTAAAAGTTGTATTATGTAATGAAATGCCTTGAAATAATGAAGTAAAATGCAAGTTCTTCAGTAACAAGCTCCTTAGAAAAAAATATATGAGTTCATAAACTCGTACTGGCTTTAACAAATAGAGTATCAACAAAGCTAATGCCTTGCCTGATTTTTATTTACTACAGATATTGTTATTAGGAATGTCTATTTTCGAAAGAGAGAGTAAATTACATTGTTATAGCCAACTACAGAATGCAAGATTTTAATGGAAAATGTGTCTCACATTTTTCTTCAGGAACAAAGCCAGTTAAATACAATTTCTCTGGTCATCCCTTAAACTTGAAATTCCTCAAACTTGTCCAGTAGATGGCACAAGCTGCTTTTACAAATAGTTATTGACTATCCACAAAGTATATATATATGTTAATTTTATCACCCATGTAGAATTTTAATAAGAGTAGCTAAAATGTATTTTTAAGAAGAGTAAAATAAGAGATTAGAAGTGGGGAAACCTGAATTCTATTTCTACCTGGAAGGCAGTTAATTGATTTTGAGCTATTCATTATTTCTCTACCCTAGGAAAGAGGCAAGGGAAAACCTGAAAAATGGTATCAAGAAAACTGCAGGGTCTTATTTGTGTAGTTGCCAGGAACCAAGACTGACTTGAAGGGCATACACATTATTATTTCTGTTGAGGAACATAGTTCCTATGAGTTGTCTATGATCTCTCTCTCTGTCTGTCTGTCTGTCTCTCTCTCTCTCTCTTCTCTTTCTTTTTCTTTGTCCTCCTACCTTTCCTTTTGCTCAATGTATCTTCCAAGGAAAGAGATCCGAATTATTTACTGAGAGGTCTCCCAATAGGCTAAATTAATCAAAAGTTCTTCACAATCTTAACTTAGAAATGTTTTAGATTGTCTGCATGCAAAATGTGCACTTCTGTCTCTGCAGACTTTTCACAAACTTTTGATATAGATGGAGCTATCCTATACTGTGTTAGCCATCAGTCTTAACCTGAAATTTATTTAACCTGACTGGTACTAGTTTCCAAAATTTTATGAGCCCTGGTGGCACAGTGGTGAGAATGCAATATTGCAGGCAAACTGCCCACAGCCAGGAGTTTGGTCCTGATGGAGCTCAAGGTTGACTCAGCCTTCCATCCTTCTGAGATCAGCAAAATGAGGACCCAAATTGTTGGGGCAATATGCTGATGGCGTAAACGCTCAGAGAGTGCTGTAAAGCACTGTGGAGTGGTATATAAGTCTAAGTGCTATTGCTATTTTAAGCAATCCTTTTATTCCCTGCCTTATCACCCAAAGATACCGATAAACAGTCTGGAAACTTATCATTCAAAGTACAAGTCTACAAATGGTCCCTGGAAATTCTCCATCAAATTTATGAGGAGCAATAACTTTCAAGAATTCCTCAAGGACATAATTCCTCTTTATCAGTAACAGCAGGGCTGCTGCCAAAAAACCCCCAAAACAAACCAGTGGGGGGGGGAACTCCCTACATGATATCTTCCATTAGGATTACATGAGAGCACGGGAAGCCAAAAAGGTCGAAGGCTGCTTCAGAGGGGATTGTACAATGAAGCGAGAACTGTTTGTAAATACACTGTGCCTTCCTCACTAAAGTACAGGATCAACAAATGCTACCCCTGGAATTTTTTTTCCAGATGGGTGGTTGAATAGTCACTCCATTTGGTGGAAAGAGTTTGCAGACATTCACATTAATGAAGCCTTATGGCTATTTGAATTGCATATAACCACCCATAATGAGGCTGCATGCTCTTTGTGTTCCTCTCTATTTTTAATTTGAAGCAGCAGGGAGCCTGCTCTTTGTACTAGAAATAGCTAATAGAAGTTCCAAAATCAATTCTTCATTTTCACCATAAAAACATATGAACCCTAACTAGCCTTTAGGTGAAGAAAACTCTATACCAAAAAAAAACAACCTAGAATGATAGGGTTCTCTGCTACTATGACATAAGAATGAATACTGGCATATGGAATGCAGGATGCTGCCATATCACCCACCTAACGCTGTGACTATTAGAACATCATTCTCATAACAGGTAATAATTCAAAATCTCCTTCACTGAAATTTTAGATTTAATGTGAAATCCTGGAGATTTCACTTAGGTTTGTTTTTGTTGAATGTTACATTCCAGCTTGTGACCCCCTGTGTGTGTGTGTGTGTGTGAATGCCCTCCTCTTGCTTAATCTTTTAAAGCCACACAGCTGAAAATGCAACTCTCCCTGGTCTTGTTATGGAAGCTGGAAAGAACGGTGAATCTCAAGGGATTCATTGTGTCTGCTGGTTTTTCTGTTATGTTCCTTACTGGTATCAATTCTGTACTTACTTATTTATTTAACATATGGTAATGTTACAGTTAGCCAGCAGACTACAATGTTAATATAATGTATTTATTTGGCTGCTGAAGAAGGCTAGTCTGTTTAGTTTGCACTTGCACACTATTCAGGGTGCACCACAGGAGGCGAACTAGCTCCGTACCAGAAAGATGAGCAGCATCCTGCAGCATCAGTTGGGGCCTTCTCCCACCACCAATGTTGCCTTGCAATTGGGCACCATATCCGGGCAGGTCCAGCACCAGCAGGGTCCCATCATCCACACAAAATGCCGCCGCATTTCCACCAAAGTTGTACCTATTTATCTATTTGCATGTAAGATGCTTTCAAATTACTAGGTGGGCAGAAACTGAGGCAAGTGATGGGAACTTACTACGCCACTCAAACCACTGGAGCAAAGTCCATCTCCAACATCCTTAAGCCACTGAGTCACCATGGTTCTTAGTTCTGTGTTAGTCCATGCCGATGACTGAAACATTTGAAGTTCCCTCACTTCGTCCTTTTCAGCCAATGTGATCTTAGAACAAATATATCTAAAGTTTATTTCTAGCATTGTTTAACCTCTCCACAACATGGTAAAGGAGTATCCAAGCAACTGGTTTTAGAATGTGATTCATCAGTGTTTGTGATTTTGTGTGCTGCCTGCATCCCACAGATGGGGCTTTGCTTGTGTGTGCGGCCTGGTTGCTGGCATGCCGTTGCCCGGTACCGGTCCATGGACCTGAGGTTGGGGACCCCTGTTCTAAGAACACATGATCACATGTAGAGACTTTAGAAAAACTAGACAAAATGAGCCCTAACCACAAAAAAAAAAAAAGAGATTTCTGGACAGGAGGTTGGATTTAGTGAGCCATTTCACTCCTGAGGTGATCAAGTCTAGTCTGCCATAGAAACCCAACTGACATAAAGCTTAGACTGACAGGTTATTAGTTCCAGTTGAAAATATACTTTCTAATTAAGAAAATTCTTCAGTTTCTATTTTCTAATTAAATCAATGGTAATTTATCTGTCACACTTAAACAAGGACTTTCTTGGTACTTCTTACTGATGAGCCCAAAGGTAATTAAAAGAAAAAGGACTGCTTTTGGTACGGAGACTTAAGGCCTTTCTAATGCCGCATTTTATTTCTCGGAGATACTTCCATTCTTAACCATTGCATATCTTGAGAGTGAAGGTTCGTTCTCCGAGCTTGTGGGTTGGTTTCCGAATGTTTCGTTACCAGGCTAGGTAACATCTTCAGCAGAACTCCGCTGAAGATGTTACCTAGCCTGGTAACGAAATATTTGGAAACCAACCCACAAGCTTGGAGAACAAACCTTCACCCTCATCCTACACCTGAGCTACAGATATTCATTACTATTGCATTGTATATCTTCTTATTCAAGCTCCTTGCTCAAGTGTCAGACTCCAGGCTTTACCATGATCAATTTCTTCTAAGATGATTCTACAACTCCAACCCTGGGTAATGTCCATTAGATCAGAGGTCCCCAACCTTTTGGGCACCAGGGACCAGTTCCATGGAGA